TGCTCTTGGATTTACATGCTCTTGGTGGCTCCAGAACCACATGGTGACAAACACTGTTGTAATTTCTGCTTTGTCTGAGAAGTATTTCTTTGCTTACCCAAATCTGCACCTAACAAGCCTTCTTCTAATAAGAGATCTGCAGATAGCCCAAACCTTCTATGTTCATCAAGAACATCATGGACTGTAAGAGTATCCTACATGAATCTAGTGCCATTGGGTGGGGGAAGGGCAAACAGTACAGCCAGTACGTTGCCATATATTGATTTTTCAGTGAGCATGGAATACTGCTTTATGAAGGGAAGAGTTACAGATATACTGTGATGAAGTTTAGAGGTCAGAAAGCCCATACTCTTTACTTTTTCATTTATACTTACAAATCTAACCAACTCACAAAGTTCCCTAGATGCTTTCATGTATTCATTTATAAAATAGACACAAAGTTTTCTTGAAGGATTATTATTTGGTGGTGTGTGGGTGAGGTCCTACTATGCTGCCTATGTGGACTTGGAATTTTTTCAACTTAAACACATGATTTTTCCTGCTTCAGCCACCAAGTAACTGATATTACAGGTGGGCAGGTGTGTGGCACTTTGCCTGGCTTTTGCAGGATGGTTTTAAGAATAAAATGAAATAATGGATGTAAAAATAGGTCATCAGAGAAGTTAATCTGAGTAACTGCTTTAGCAGATCGTTCCATTTGACCCAGTCGCTGGAAGAATTGTCAAAAGAATACTAGCAAACAGGCAATGATAAAAATAATTTTTAAGCCGAATTGTTGGTGGCACATGCCTTTAATCCCAGCACTTAGGAGGCAGAGGCAGGCGGATCTCTGTAAATTGGAGGCCAGCCTGGTCTCCAGAGCAAGTGCCAGGATAGGCTCCAAAGCTTCACAGAGAAACCCTGTCTCAAAAAACCAAAAAAAGAGGCTTTTTTAAATAGTCCTCTACGTTTATTTGTTGGGAAATACAATCATTTTCTTGCTCCTGTCATTCTTGTCCCTTCCTACATGTCTAAACCCTCACACTTTGCTGAATCCCTCTGCATTTCTTAAAACACCTTAACTAACATCCTGTGGATTATGGCCCATTCTTTTCTCTTACTCTGGTGAGGACCAGAAAGATCAGTGTAGACCATATACCAGTATTAGTTGCTGCTTTTCATTGCTACACGCAAACAAATGAAAGGCTATGGGAGCAAGGACACAGTCCATTATGAAGAGGAGTGAATGGCAGCAGGGCTGAGAGGGAGCTGATCACACTGTCCACTGTCTTGAGCAGAGACATGTTGGTGCTCAACTTGCTTTCTCATTTCCCCCTTCTTGTTCAGCCCAGGAGCCTGGCCCATGGGGTGTTCCAGTCACATTCAGAGAGGGTCTTCCTTTGTTAGTTAAGCCCTTCCCAGAAGCTCCACAGGAGATACAACTGAGACATACTTGCTGAGTGATTGCAAATCCAGTCAAGCTGACAATAAAGACCAGTCATCATAGTATCTCTGTCCCTCACATTTTCCCAGGTCATCATTTCATTTCCCATCATTCTCTTCAGTTACTTTCATCAGGAAAGTCTAGGGACTGAGCACTAAGAGACAAAGGATCTTCCCAGCTCAGAGAATGTGGGTAGAAGAACAGAAAAAGGAGGCATTTCTCCTTTGAAGAAAGGGGGAAGGCCAGGAGACTTCCATTCAAGTAGTCGATTTACTCTGTCATTTGTAGAGATAAACCATAAAGCAGTAACACATCTGAGTGAAAAAAAAAAGTTTGTTGCCTCCTCCCAGAGCATCTCAAGGCAGAGTCTAAGCAGATCTATTGTTTTCTGATTGCTCCATCACTGTCAGGGAAGCAGGATCCAGGTGCTTGCTAGTCTCATCAGCATCCTGTCTCGGGACCCTGTGTGCCTCAGTCAGCAGAGCAGGTGTTTTCCCAAAAGCTGCTTCAGCATCTGGTGTCTACACAATGACAAATCTCTTCACATAAAGAACAGGTTGTTTTGTACATGTGTCTGCAGTTTTGTACAGAGGCCTATATCCCCAAATGCAAGAAGAACGCTTATGTTCTGTTAATGAAAAACAAACAAAAGAAAATCCACAAACAATAACCTAAATAAATAAATAGCCAAACCACTCCATTTTCTTCTGCTCCCACTATCTTAATCTCAGTTTCTAAACTGAAGCCAGTACTTCTTTTCTGCAATTACAGTTGGGATTTCTCCTCGTAAAGATGTGAAGCAGCATCTCACTCCAAATGTGTAGGCTGACATGTTTATGTGGGTGCGTGCAAAAGTTTGTGTGTTTGTACAAAAGCCGGAGGTCAGTGTCAGGTGTCTCTCTCCTTCGCCACCTTACTTTCGAAACAGGGTCTGTCATTGAACTTAGGCTGGCTGGCTAATATACTACAGCTATATATATAATATACTATAGTATATGACGCTTTCTTTGTCACTGGCTTTATCCATCTCAAGTAATGTTCTCAAGGTTCTCATTCATGTTGAGGTATGCATCAGCATTTTATTTCTTTGTCTTAAAAAACAAAAGCAAATCTTCCCAGTTTTAGGTTCAGAACAAGACTGACAGAAAAGTACAGAGACTTCTCACGCCCTCTCACATATAACTTCCCCTTTGTTACCCAAGGAAGTGGTACATCTGTTATAATTATGGTTCTTTGTTCCCATCCCTTATGTCATCATTTCATGCGGCTAATTTTCACTTATCTCTTTAGTTACTTCCATTGTTACCACCCACTGAACCACTGACCGTTTAGCTGGGGAGTGTCAAGTAGCCAACTGGTAGATGTTCGATCTATGCTAATTGTCAGGCTCTACTGTGAGTGGAAAGAAATCAAGCACGTTTTAAGAACTGTATTGTTTTAAAATTTAGGGAGGGGCAGTTGGCATACTGAAGGTATCTGGGGCTTAGTGTTAGAGGAAGCTGCATATGAATCTGTTTTGAATGAGACTAGTTTCTTTTTCACTCAGTGGATTGTACAAAATAATAGGCTTCATTGTTCAGACATTTTTCAGACATGCTATGATGTTTAGCTTTTTGAACTTGACACAGCCTAGAGTCGCCTGGGAAGACTCTCCATTAGGGATTGATTATGTTGGGTTGACTTGTGGAAGATTGTCTTAATTGAAGTGAATTGATGAAGACAGCCCACTTTGAGCAGCACCTTTCCCTAGGCAGGGGCCCCTGAACTGTATGAGAAGAGAAACTGAGGCTAGCACAAGCAAACCAGCAAGTGACCATGTATGTGTTTATGTTTTGTCCTCCTCTTAACTGTGGATGGGATGTGATCAGCTGTTTGAAGCTGTCTGAACTGCTGCCTTTAACTTGAAAGCCAAGTAAACTCCTTTCTCCCCACAGTTGTTTTTGGTCAGGATATTTTAGCACAGCCATAGACATGAAACTAGAATATGTGCCTACAGTATAAATTGAACAGATTTATCCTGCCCCCACCTTTTAATCTCCCTTCTCCCTGATCCCCCTCTATATTGAAGACTTTTTTCTTTCTCTATGTTCAACATATGACAGAAAAGATTCAATATTGTCTCTCTAAGTCTGGTTTCTTTCACTTCGTGTGGTGATGATATCCATTTCCCTGGTGAGGACACGGCATTGTGGAAGGTCTTTCAGAGAAACAGATACTCAGACCCTTGGCTGAAGAATGATTCAGGCCTCTATCGGGGTAGCTGCCCTTTTAAACTAAGCGTGTAGCTTTGGGATGGAAGCACCTGGAACTAAACAAGGAAATAGACATCTGTCTAGCCAGCTCAACCAGCCCACTCAACCCTGCAGATCAATGCCCTGACATATCGGAGTCAGATTATTTTTCCTTATGGCTGACTAATTTTTCATGCTGCCTCTATACACATACCGCATGTTCTTTCCACATCCTTTGATGGGCGCCTAGACTGACTCAATAACTTAGCTATTGTGGATAGTGCCACCTGTCAAAGCCTTGGCTTCCTTACCTGTGAAATGAGTAACATGAATGCGATGTCCATTCCTGCCAAGATCAAGATCAATGCAATAGTTGGGGAAAGTACTCCTGGGCACTTAAAGAACAGGAAACTAGAATAATGGGTGAAACAGTTCCCCAGTTTCGGGATGCTTCTTCATTCACTGAAAGCAGAGTAAACACTTGTGAACCTGGCCCTAAGCACCTCAAGAAGGTGTTTTGAGGAGTGAGGGACGGGCGTGGGCAGGAATCCTGGAGGGGAGCACACCTAGATTCCAGGAGCGGTCCAGACCCGCCCTGCAAATGTCAACCACTTTGCTATTTCTAGTATTCCTCTGACTCTTGTTCACTATCTCTAATCTTCTCTCTTCCTGTCTTATACACAGCTCTTCTGGCAAGTCCTCTTTGCTTTAAAAGGGGTTAGCAAAAGGGCCCCGATTTCTTTGGTTATTTCTTAGGTTAAAAAAATAGAAAACCAAATGGATGATATAAGAACATCTCTGCGGGAGTACCCCCTTTTCTTAGAGACTCCAATCTCTTCTTCATGGGATAGACAGGTTAATAATTTGTCTTCCCAGTAGCGTAAATGGTGAAGAAATAAATGAAAGGAAGGACGCAGAATTGCATGAAGGATGAATAAACTGCAGGGGCCCAGGATTAGAAGGCAGAGAGAGGTCCTTGCTTGCTGCCACTTCCTGCACAGCTGCTTTTAAGATCATGGGGCCATCTCCTACACAATGTTTCTTCCTCTCGGTTTCAGCTCGCACGCTCAAAGCTTTAACGCAGAGCACCACCCTCCCAGCGCTCCTCCCCTTTCCGCTAACCACGCCCCTCCTCCCTGAGGTTCCGCCCCACCTTCCGAGCTTCAGGGGAAATGAATGGCAG